GTCCACATGGTTGGAGTGTTGGGTTGGGCCTTGCAGCACAAGGGGAGGAAATGTGTCCCCTTTCCACCATCCCATCCTCATCACCCCTCAAGTCTGTGACAGGCACATTACTTTTGGCTCCAGGCTGTTCCACCCTATGCTGGATGTGACTTGGTGGAAAGAAACAGTATTTGGAATCAACAGATTTGGGCAGAATAAGAAAGCTGCTAGTTATCAGAACCTGGACTGTTAAACCACTGGTGTCCACTGCTTTTATTCCCTTCCTTTAACATGTATGAACCACTGTTGTCCTTATCCATAAAACAGAAATGATCAGAATGCCTGCCTTGGAGAACTCCCAGCATTTCCTTCTCTTCCACGAAGCCCAGGATAGCAGCAGAGGTGGAACACCCAGTGAGCTGCATCTACCTACCCCAGTTCATGCTGTCCTTCTGTCTGTCTGTCTCTTTGGGGGTGCCTGAGAGTGATCATGTGGGCTGATCCTCCAAGCCCCGCCTCATGCAGACAGCAGTGGCCAGAGATTTTTAGAAGCCTCATCTCCCACGTTACCTCCAGATATGGGGTCATATATATCCTCTAGGGGAGCTGTGTTTTGTGAGTAATTTTTAAAATTTACAATATATAGGCTGTACTGTTTTAAAGGGAAGTGTATCATCTGGGGTAGGGTGAACTGATCACCAAACATACTGAAGGAAATAATGAAAAACTCGAAAGAAAGATAATTTTTGCATTTTCTCTCATTTCATTTTCCATTCACTAAGCAAACTATACTCCTTTTTTTCCCTAAAAAAGTTCACACTGGGTATGTTTCTTTGAGGAGTCATATCATGCAGCCCACAGTAAGATGACACTTCATTCAATCTATTCTTAGGAACAATGTAAAAATACATATGTGGTAAGATTAACAATTTTCTTATTTGAACTCTGAACACCAAAGCTGACAGCCTCCTTCCTCTTCAGATGTTTGAAATCCTTTATGTAAAAGCCTGATTTAAATTTTTTTTAATAAAAATTTTTTTTTTTTAAGGACGGGGTTTCATCATGTTGGTCAGGCTAGTCTTGAACTCCCTACCTCAGGTGATCCGCCCTCCTTGTCCTCCAAAGTGCTTAGATTACAGGCATGAGCCACTACGCCAGGCCAGCCTAATTTAAATTTTATAGTAATAGATAATATTTTTAAATGTAATGAGATTTAAATATATCAGTCCCAAAATGTTTATTAAAAGCAAATAATGCTTTCCTTCATGTTTGAAAAGTAAAAAATATTAATACAAAGTTGGTTCTTATACCAGAAGTCTTCTATTAACTTGCTTATCTCCACGTTTCTCCTTTACTTCATTTCCCAATTTTTGCCTATGGTAGTACAGAAAACATTATCTACTTCCCACAAATGATGGTGCCACTAAATCATATTCTGACTTACAGTGTCAGTTCAATTCTATTTTGATAGCCTGCTTCTTATAAGAGTAGAAGGGGGACAATTATATTACCTATCATTTAAGTTAAGGCATCACACAATTATCACTTTGCATTTATTTTCCTTGAATTAATACTATTAAAAGATATGTAATTCTTATTTCAATTTGACTACAACCATCATGACAGCTAATCTAAAGACAAAAGTTTAATAGTTTGTTAGTATACATGAGGATAAAACCATGGCAATATGACAGGGTGTGGCTCTGTCTAACAAGTACTTCTTGTACATAAAATAAAGACCAGTTCTATTTCTGGTCTTTAATCGAGGTCTAACTTTTCCATAGTTTATTTTTGCAGTCTTTTAACTGTTAAGCGTTATGAATTCTTTTGCCTTATGCATTACATAAGCACCATTCAAAACACTTGTTCTGGTATGTATCAAGGACCATAAAAATAATCACTGTTGGATCTAGAAATCCCATCCCTAAAAATATATCTTAAGGAAGTAATTCCAAATGTAGGGAACGCTATATTCAAAATCTTTTCATTGCATTACTTAAAATAGTAAAAAATGGAAACAAGCTAAATACTAAGATAAGAGTAATTAAGTAAATTATAGTAAACTGGCTGATAGAACTTTTTATAGCAATTGAAAATGATGAAAGATTGTATATAAAAAACAAGAAAGATGATTGTCATGATTTTTATTTAAATAATATTTACTATAAACTTTATGTTCTGCTAAGAAAATATGGAAAATAAGGACAATACGAAAAAGAAAAAAATTATAATATTTGGGGAGAAAAGCAGACTACTCAATTGTATCTGAGATATGACTATAATTTTTGTTAAAGAACAGAGCAAGAAAACTTGTAAGTTGTTTTACTGGTTTTTACTCTTTTCTTTATCGGATTATATGTAGCATAATTTGTAATTTATTATTATTTATATTATTTATAATTTACAAATAATATAGCATAATTTGTTATATGTTTATATTTAAAACTCAGAAACCCTCATTTGGAGCATTCTTCCATTCTTGCTGCCCAGATGAACAGGTAAGGAGTGCAAATTAAAAGACTGGCTGGGCATGGTGGCTTACGCCTGTAATCCCAGCACTTTGGGAGGCCGAGGAAGGGGATCACGAGGTCAGGAGTTTGAGACCAGCCTGGCCAACATGGTGAAATCCCATCTCTACTAAAAGTACAAAAATTATCTGGTACTGTATTCCCAGCTACTCGGAGGCTGAGGCAGGAGAATCACTTGAACCCTGTAGGCAGAGGTTGCAGTGAGCAGAGATCACATTACTGCACTCCAATCTGAGCAACAGTGACAAAGCTGGTACTAGCAGAACAGAGATTGACAATCACATCTGACTAGCATTTAAAATGCCTAAACTCTTTTTTCCCTTCCTGGTGGCATCACAGTAAGAATCAAATGAGGCAAACATAGAAATGCATGCTGGAAATGGGGACATTGCTCCTTCCAGGGGTTTCAGAATCACCCACTTTTCCCATGCCCTCCCCCAATGGGACAGAGATCATAATTGTAAAGTTTTGTGGAAAAAAATAAATGAGAGATTGGTAAAATATCCTGTTACAATTTTCTTTTTGAAAATGTCTCAGACAGGCACAGTGGTTCACACTTGTAATCCCAGCATTTTGGGAGGCTGAGGCAGGAGGATCATTTGAGGTCAGGAGATTGAGACCAGGCTGGGCAACTTAACAAGACTCCATCTCCACTTTTTTTTTTTTTTTGGTCTCAAAACTTCTGTTGTAGGGAAATTCTTATCTATGAGAGGCCACTTGAAATAAATGGGTTACTGGCCAGGGCTTGGAAATATTTGTGGTATGAGAAGGTCAGTTGTTTTTTGGCATCTTCAGATAACATTATTATTGCTATTTATAAGCAATTAGTAAATTACTGAAAAATCCATAAATTTAAAATTATTTATTTGGGAAGACTCTATTTATAAAAAATTGTGCCTCAATTATGCATTTTGCTTACCATTACATCTATTTCAGTTCTAAAGGAATATATGGAGGGAGAGGGAGTCTTTTCAAAATGATTGTGAAGGGGTGGCTTATTCTCTTTGCCCTCAGTTTAATAGAAGCAAGAGGTAGTTTGTAGTAGTGGGCAGTCAGAGGTGGGTTCATTGCATTGGTACTTCTAGTCCTAGCTTTTCACTATTCCTTGGCAAAGTTCTTAACCTCTCTGGGTTCCCCTCTTCTTACCTTTCTCCTATTCCCCCCCAAGTGTGGGAGTCACACTTCAACACTATACACCTGGGAGTGTTGTGTTGTTAAAAAGTATTGTTAAATACTTTTTAAACGTGTTAAATTCTTGTTAAATACTTTAAGACGTGTATTTATTTATTTGAATTAGTAATACATACACATGGTTCAATATGTAAAAGATATAAAGGGAGATTTGGTGCCTTCTCCCTCCTGCCTGCTTCTCTCTGGGTGTCCCTGTTCCAGTTCTCAGTTTTCTTTTGCAAACTTAGAAATCTCAAGAGTCTGTGAAGGGCAAATGAAAAGCAAGATGACTAGACTAAATCTGAATGAAATGAAAGGGATTTATTCTAAGGTGATACTGCTCACTGCTTAGATAAGCACCTTGAGCAGTGAGCAGTATCGCCTTAGAATAAATCCCTTTCATTTAGATTTAGTCTAGTCATGCCCTCTTCATGGGATCCCTCAAGTTTTCTGAGACTTCAAACAGCAACACTCAACTAAACTATGAAATAGTCACAGCACCTTTCCAAGAAATCTTGACTTTGAACTTGCTAATGTGCAAAGGAAATGGTCCATTTCTCTAGAACTGGGTTAATAAGATTTTACTTTGTCTCATTTATAATTTTCTTCTGAAAATTTGTTTTTTCTGCTGTCAGGTAGGAGAGAAGGCAATAAGGGAAAGATTTGTTTTTGCACTGCTTTGAGATTTTTATACCTTAGGCCAGGAGCACACAAGAAATAAAATATTAACAATATGTCCTTAATTTTCCTTTCTGACAAAGATCACTTGCCTCTCCATTTATATATAAAGAAGGGGTGTGTTAAGCAAATGAAGGCAGACAAGATGTGCCCAGCACCTGGCATACAATAGGGGTACAGGCCATTGCTTAATAAAACGTATAATTTATTAAAACATGCTCGGAGCACTGCTGTGCTAACCAAATATTCCCTGAAATTTTTAAATTTACAATGTAAAATAAGAATAATTTTAAAAACTATTTCTGGAAAAATAGCTTAAGGGCTTCCCCCTCCATAGCAATTTAAGATTAACCTAAAACATGACAGTTATTATTAACTGGGGAGCACCACCCCCATCTCCTTGTGTGTGTCTCACATTGGAGGCTTATTGTGCACGAAGTTGTGATCAAAATCCAACTCAATTCATTTTGAAAAGTAACGACTACAACATCCATCCACTCCAATGAGCAAAGGGTGTAGGCTTTGCGTATACACAGCCCACCACACACTATGGGTCATGGCATACAGGCTAGCTTTGGAGGTCGCTGCGTTTGTTCATGTGTCTACGAGCTAGGTTTTAAGTGTTTTCCCCCGTTCTATTAATATAATTAATTAATTAACCCCACTCATTCATTTACTCAGTCCACAGCCTTTTTGTTAAGAGCCTGCTGAGGACATAAAGATGGAGATCCAGTATCTACCCTCATGAAACATACAATCCAAGCGAAGAAGGCTTACTTTGCGATAGTCGTCAAGTTGTGTTTTTATGGCGCTTTACTGCTCCCGCCAGCACCCAGTACCTGGGTATGACCTCAGGCGGTGGCAGAGCCCGCGTGCGAGGTCCGGCTCTCCTTGGCTTGCCCCGGCAGGGCGGGGTCAGGAGAGCAGCCGCCGGCACTGCCCCCGCGCGCTCCCTCCAGCGCTGCTTTTAATTTCGCAGCTTCCACCACCGGAAATTAGTCGAAGGCTGAGTGGACCCAGCTAAGAGCCGGCGAGCTCCACGCGGGGAGGGTGCGCCCACCGGTCCCGCCGGGCGCCCGCGGGACGCGCCGCCAGGGCCCTCTCCGCCGGGGGCTCGGCGCACGCCCACCTCTTCCAAATTTAACCATTACCTAAATCCGAAGGGAAATGAGCAAACCTCTCGGATTGGGTGTCAAGGTATTTTCAGCCTCGTTGGGCGTATTTATCCCGAAGTGTTTCCACAACAAGCTATTTCGGGGCCGCGGGGCAGGTTTCGCTCTGCGGACGCGGTGGCCACTCGCCGGGCTCCAGGCCGGCGGCACCGCGGGCCGGTGATTCACGGTCCTGGGCTGGGGGTGGTGCAGCCCTAGCAGGCGGCGGGGTGGGGGGGGCATGGCGGGTGACGGATGCCAGGGGGGCAGGGAGGGTCCTCGGAGCTGTGCGCCCCCACCCCTCTGTCGGCAGTCAATCTCTGTCCTGAATCTGTGGCTTCTCTCGCTGCGGAAGTCTCCCTGGAGCCAAGAATAGTTATTTTCTTTCGAGTCATTTCTAGTGCCTGAGTGTCCGGACCTCCAATTTCCCCCATCCCCAGCCGACCCACAGGGAGAGAACTGGGAGAACGACTAAGGGACGCGCGGGACGGGCTGGAAAGGCCAGGCCCCCCCGCACCCGCCTGGCCACTTGCGCAAAGTGGCGCGCTGGGCCGCCCGACGGGGGTTGGGGGCAGGTCTGGGAGGGCTGTGTGAACGACTCAATAACGCTCAGGAAGTGAAGCCTGTGGTTTTGGGGGCTGAGCTCGGAAGGAGACTTTTTTTTTTTTAAGGTCAGAGAGACAGAGCGGTCTCTTCCAAAAGCAAGATTTTGTTTGAAAACTCTCCTAGCGCGGTGCCCGCGCCCTGACCCCGCAGGTAGGTCCGCCAAGGCTGTTCTGCGCCTCCAGCCCTGGTGGGGGCGGCCGCGGGGACTCGCAGAGCACCGGTGCTGCGGGGGCGACCAGAGGGCGCGGGCGGGTTCCCACCTGCTGTGGACCGCCGTGAGGGAGCCGGGAGAGCCCTGGCAGCTGGGTTAGGGCGCGACTCGAGCAGCGCGGCTGGAAATCTGGAGCCGGAGGCGCGCAGCAGGCAGCCTGGTGGTTCGGCAGGGGAGCCAAATCCACCCGGGAAGGAAACGTCTGGTGGGAGGCCACAGAAGCTGCGCTCGGGAGGCCACCCCCTGAGCGCCCTCGGCTCCCGCCTTCCCGGGCCGGGACGTTGAGGAGAGGCCTGAGCTCTAGGAGGGCTCGCCCCGCCTCCCGCGCCAGCTGCAGTGCGGGGTTACCTTCCCACGCGCTCGGCAGTGGCCCCGGCGCCCCTACCTCCCCCACCTCCGTCCCTCCTGACAGGAATCGGCAAAGCCGGCCGGAGTGCGAGAGAGGCGTGGGCTTACAGCCCTGGTGGGGAGGCGGCCTCCACGTCCGCCTGGTCTCTTGCGGCTCTAGCCCAGACCCAGCTCCGGCTCTGACAGCTCCCCCGCCCCCATCGGTCCCGCTCACAGCCAACGCGTGTCTCAGCCGCAGCGGGACCCTCGGGACAATGCCACTCTGTTTTTCTTTTCTTCTGAGTTTCGCGGCTGTTTAAAGAATTGGGTTTGGGTTTTGTGGCGTCTAATTGTATGGCCCAGAAGTGCAGGAAGCAGCAAAGCTCTAGCCCTGGGAGACAACCCTGACGGAGGTAGATGGCACCCTAGCCCCTAGGGGCATTCTGGCGCTTAGGCCCCGAGACACGTCCCAGGAGTCTTTTCTCCCACGTCTGTTCCAATTCCTCCGGAGAAGGGGACATAATGGGGCTAGGGATCTGAAGCAGGAGGCCTGCACCCTACAGGGACCAAGGCCGCTAAACTCGTTTTGAGTCGAGAGCTCCAAAAGACAGACGTAGACTCTGTGGCCTGCATCTTGCCTAGGAAGCCGAGCAGCTCCTAGTACAGCAGTTGAAACAGCACGAAGCCGGAGGACTGAGGGTCCTGCCCCAGCCCAGAGTTCCCAGCACCCTCGTTTCTGAACCAACCGAAGCCACCGAGAACTGCTGTACTGCAGCTCACGTGTGAGCGGGGTTCCCATCGCCTTCACCCCGGGAGGAAGGCAGATTCGTTTACCCCAGACCACCTTGACTGTGGGGTCCCGCCCCGCGGAGCCATCTGGAGCCGAGGCTGGCGCAGCCCCGCCCTCCCGCCGGGCTCAGATTTCGACCTGGGATTAGGTGAACTGATTGGGGGTTAATGAGAGCGGCGCCCTGGGCAGCTAGTTCCCTCCCAGGCTCGGGCCGACCCTCGTGCTCTGGCGTCGTGTCTTTCTTGTCTGCCAAATTATCAAGTGCACCACCGATTCGGGACACCTAGCATTTCCCAGTCAATGTTCGCGGATCGGGCTTCACTTCCCTAGGACGAGATTTTTTGGTGAGAAGAACGGAAAGTGCTTTTTCCCGGGACCTGATTCCCGAGGTTAGATCTCCATAGTCTGGGATGGCTCGCCGCAACCTCAGCTGGTACCTGCAGCACCCGGGAGTCCGGGGCCAAAGTTTCTCCTACGTGGGGCACAAGTGAGGGGCAACTGGGATCATCCGGATGCGAGTTTCTCCTGAGGTGGGGATTGGTCGTCTGTTACTCCCCTTACTTTCCTGTCCCTTTGCTGGCCTCTGCTGCCCCCAGTCCCTTTGCTGCTGTCCCAACACCGCCACCCCTCAGTTTTGTGTTCCGTCCCTGCCCCCCCCCCCCCCCCCCCCCGCCGCGTTTCACTCCAGTTTGTAGCTGGCTCTTGGAGGTCTTGGCTCCTTGCCCCTTCCGGGTCCTCGACCACTGGGCATCCCCGATCCCTAAACCGATTTCTCGTTTTCCCGCCCTCCCTTGCCAGCCAGAAAGCACAGCCAGGCAGGCAACGAGTAGCTGAGTTGGGGTAACCCACCCGATGGGAACTACGGCTCTCCAGAGAGTTTGATTGCCGGAGCGAGCTTGGCTAGGAAAGGGGAGGAGCTGGGGGGCGTGAGTAGGGAGGAGGAAAGGGGCCCGAGTCAGGGCCCCGGGACAGGTTTTACCGCTGAGCTCTGTCAGCGGCAGCGGCGGCAACGACGGCGGGTTCGCGCCACCTGTCCGAGTGCCACCTGGTAAGCGTGGCGCAGTAGGGCCAAGCCCCTCCTCCCATGGGCCCTCTGCGCTCCTCCCTGGCCGGTGCTCTCCCTCTGCCTGGGTGCCCAGTCCCAGCACCTGAGAGTACTGACCCGCGTTTCCACCTGGTTTTCTTCCCCTCTCAGGTCTCCGCCGGGCTGTGGCTGAGCAAGCCTTCGGAGTGACCGTGGGTGACAGCGGCTCCAGGGACCCTTGGGGCGGAGTGGGGAAAGCCCCAGACCACCATGCCGCGCTCATTCCTCGTCAAGAGCAAGAAGGCGCACAGCTACCACCAGCCGCGCTCCCCAGGACCAGACTATTCCCTCCATTTAGAAAATGTACCAGCACCCAGCCAAGCAGGTGCGAGGCACGCGGGGCCCAGCAGGGCTGCTCCCGGGGACTCTGACTGCACATTGACACACGATTACCCGGGAGCTGGGAGGGGCTGCCCTAACGTCCCTTAGGCTGCCGTTTTTGTTTCCTGCTGTCCTGGTTCCTCAGGGTTTGTCTCCTAGGTGCCACGGCCTCTCTGCACCTGTCCTCAGATCCGAGAGGGTTCCTGGCCAGGGTCTGGGTGGAGAGGGGAAGACGCTTGGGTGCCCTGGTCAGGGGAAGTTGGGGGAGCCTTCAGAACCCCCAGGCTCAACCAGTCCCAGCCCGAGCCCCTCACCTGCCTCCTCTCTGCAGACAGCACTTCAAATGCAGGTGGGGCGAAGGCGGAGCCCGGGGACCGTTTGTCCCCTGAATCGCAGCTGACCGAAGCCCCAGACAGAGCCTCCGCATCCCCAGACAGCTGCGAGGGCAGCATCTGTGAACGGAGCTCGGAGTTTGAGGACTTCTGGAGGCCCCCGTCACCCTCCGCGTCTCCAGGTAGGAACCCACTGGGAACCGCTGGGGCGGGAGCTGCAGGGACCAGGCAGTGTTTGGGTGGGTGTGTGTGGGTGTGTGTGTGTGTGTGTGTTTGTGTGGTGTTGGGGTAGAGGGGATAGGCGCGATCTTGGGTGTAGACATTCTAATGGGGAGTTGGAGAGTTTCCGGGAGGAGCGAGCTGATTCGCAGGGGAAGGAGGCCAGAAAGAGGCATCCGGCTTCTTTGGGACTTAGACAGCTTGCCCGCTGGGGCCGCTGCCTTCGTCCTAGGAGGCGGGACCCTGGCTGCTTGTCGTTTGCGTGGAGCTGGCCGACGACGGAAAACGAACCAGTTTTTTCAACTGGCAGCAACGCTGATGTTTCGTTTTCTGACCAGACTTGATTTTTCATAAAGTGCTAGGATCCCACAATCCAGACCCCCGAACCTCAAACAAACGGAGACCAGGGCAGTAAAGGCCAGGTAGAGGAGCTAGGTGCGGGGCAGGTGGGAGGGGGCGCGACGAAAATCTCAGCCCGCGGCTTGGTCTTTACGGGCGCAGATTGGGGCCCTGTTTCATTTTTCGTTTTGCCAGGTTGACCCAGCCTCACGGACCTGCCCTGTAGGTTTCATTTCCAGCGAGCAATACAGCTTCAGGCAAACGAAGTGACTGCACGTTGGGTGGGGGCGTCTTTGTCCGGACCTGGGGAAGGAATGAGCTAACCAGCCAGATTTTGACAAGGGCCGGTTATATCCAGAATATGCTTGCTAGTTTTAAAAGATACCACCACTCGTCCCACAATCAGTGAGTTGACTTGGCTAAACCCATAGCTCCAGCGAATGTGTCTGGGAGCCGGCGGTGGGAGGATTCTTCCTGCCAGGGCGTCAAGTGGCCGGGCAAGGACTAGGTCCCAAACTCCTTGGAACGAAACTCTGGGTACGGCCTTTCACTGACGTGGCCAGCCTGAACTGGAGTGTGTGTGTGTGTGTGTGTGTGTGTGTGTGTGTGTGTGCGCACGCACACACACACATTTGTAAATGTCGTATGCACTCACGTGCATTGGGTCACTAGTTTTAGCAAAATTCATGTGAGTGGGAGTGTAGCAGGACGAGAATTCAGGGAGCTGTCTCTTTGCAGGTGGTGGCAAAACTTTATGAGATTACAGTTATTCTCTGAGAAATTCGGGTTCCCTGCCTCCATCAAACTATAACAGGAATTGGAAGTATTTGGCGGACAGTTTAAGCCCAAAAGTCCCTTTCCTGCTGCCCCTTTGCTGTGTACACTGGGCATTTAACTTTGTGAAACCTTAATACCTTCCGGTTTATTCAGATACCAACCTTTCGGGTAGTTCGAGGCCGCATTTATGGCCCCTCTCCCTTTTTCCTCGTGGATTCCAGGAATAAAAAGAATTGAGTGGGAACATGTAGGGGCTGGGAGAATGCCTGCGCTGGTGGCTGGACCCTTCGCCCACGAGTGCTGTGCGAGGCCGAATGGGGCATTTATTGATGTGACCTTCCCCATAGGATCTCCAGGTGCGCAGGTTCAGCCAGGAAAGATCCTCAGAACGCCAAGCGCCTCAGCTGCCCTCGCACAGAATTTACTACCTCCTCTCCCGAGGTCTTTTCAATGATCTATTTGCTGCTCTGCCTCCTATAGTGGCCTGCAAGGCCCCAGGGTCTGGGCCGCGTTTTACCCTGCGGTGGGCCTGGCACCTGGAGCACGCAGTGTTCTACCAGCCGTGGGTGCCGCGCAGTCCGCGAACAGGCCACACCCACAGCTGCAGAGCTGCAGCCCGGCAGCCTCCGCTCTGCCCTCTGAAGCCTGACTGGATACTCCCTTGTGCCTCCACAGCCTCGGAGAAGTCGATGTGCCCGTCGATGGACGAAGCCCAGCCCTTTCCCCTGCCTTTCAAACCATATTCATGGAGTGGCCTGGCGGGTTCTGACCTGCGGCACCTGGTGCAGAGCTACCGACCTTGCGGGGCCCTGGAACGCGGCGCCGGCCTTGGCCTCTTCTGTGAATCAGCACCGGAGCCGGGCCACCCAGCCACGCTGTACGGCCCAAAGCGGGCGGCGGGCGGAGTGGGGGCCGGGACTCCAGGGAGCTGCAGCGCAGGGGCAGGTGCCGCCGCTGGCCCTGGCCTCGGGCTCTACAGCGACTTCGGGTCTGCGGCGGCCGGGTTGTATGAGCGGCCCACCGTAGCGGCGGGCTTGCTGTACCCTGAGCGTGGCCATGGGCTGCACGCGGACAAAGGCGCTGGCGTCAAGGTGGAGTCCGAGCTGCTATGTACCCGGCTGCTGCTGGGCGGTGGCTCCTACAAGTGCATCAAGTGCAGCAAGGTGAGGCATCCGAGCTCCCCGCTTCGCCTGCCCTGCGCCTGCTTCCCCCTACCAGTGCCTAGCCGGCGCAGCACCAGCGCCCCGCGGCCCCTCTCAGCGGCCTTCTCCCCGGCCCCACCCGCCTTAGGTGTTCTCCACGCCTCATGGGCTCGAGGTGCACGTGCGCAGGTCCCACAGCGGTACGAGACCCTTTGCCTGCGAGATGTGCGGCAAGACCTTTGGGCACGCGGTGAGCCTGGAGCAGCACAAAGCCGTGCACTCGCAGGTAAGCCCCGGGCGCACCGCTGCGAGCGGCCCTGCTCAGGTTTTTTGCACTCGGGGATTTTCTGCATCTCCTAGGTGCAGCATCAGCCGCTCTCGCCTGGAAGTTTTCTCCCTGACTGTCCCCAGTTTCCTCCCCCAACCCTTCCGCTGCGTCTCCTTGCCCTGGGAAATATACCTTTCCCTACACACATGTGGCCGGCTTAGGTCTTGAGGCAGCCCTAGATTTTGGTGTCATATCACTGTGAGCCTCGAGAGTGCAATCCTTATTGGGCTTGAAGAAGGTTTGTATGCACTGATTTGTGCTGCTCATATGTCAGACTTATTAGCTCTATCTCTTTGCACCTTTTTTTTTTTTTTTTTTTTTTTTTTTGAGACGGACTCTTGCTGTGTCGCCCAGGCTGGAAAGTGCACACAATCTTAGCTCACTGCAACTTTCGCCTTCCAGGTTCAAGCGATTCTCCCACTTCAGCCTCCTGAGTAGCTGGAATTACAGGCGGTGGTACCGCGCCCGGCCAATTTTGTGTTTTTAGTAGAGCTGGGGTTTCTCCATGTTGGTCAAGCTGGTCTCACACTCCTAACCTCGTGATCTGTCTGCCTCGGCCTTCCAAATTGCTGGGATTACAGGCGTGAGCCATCCTGTACCCAGCCTGCCTATTCTTTTCACCAGATGGTTGTTACTTAATTTGCATTGACCCCTCCCGACTGAAAAGGTGGGATCTCAGCTCATTTAGAGCATACAGTAGCATATTTACCTTGCTATTCTCTCTCTTCCCCTCCCCTCGTCTCTTTTCTTTTTGAGACAGAGTGTAGCTCTGTTACCCAGGCTGGAGTGCAGTGGCACAATCTCTGCTCACTGCAACCTCCCCCTGCCAGGTTAAAGTGATTCTTGTGCCTTGGCCTCCCAAGTAGCTGGGATTACAGGCACACGCCACAGTTATTTTTTTTTTTTTTTTTTTTTTTTTTTTTTTTTGAGACAGAGTATCACTCTGTCACTCAAGCTGGAGTGCAGTGGCACCATCTCAGCTCACTGCAAGCTTCACCTCCTGGGTTCAAGTGATTCTCCTGCCTCAGCCTCCCGGGTACCTGGAATTACAGGCATCCGCCACCACACCCGGCTAATTTTGTATTTTTAGTAGAGATGGAGTTTCACTATGTTGGCCATGCTGGTCTCGAACTCTTGGCCTCAAGTGATCTGCCCATCTCACCTCCCAAAGTGCTGAGATTACAGGCCTGAGCCACCACACCCCGCCCCTGCTATTCTTTCATGAATAAATATTTGTTGCCTAATTTCCAGGTGCCAAGTATTTAAGAAACCTGTAGCACATCAGGTCGTTGACAGCATGCTCACATGAAGATTGTAGTTTAGCAGAGAGATGGAGAGTAGATGAGCAAATAAATATAACAATAGCTATGACAGGAGAATGCTATGACAGGAGAAAGCTGAAAAGAATATCAGCCCATCTCCCCCAGAACCCACACTGGCTGGGGGAGGAGGCATCTGAAGTGACTGAGGTCTAAGCCTCCTGTTGAAGAGGGTGGAGAAGTGTGTGTTAATGGTGTCAAAAAAAAGCAGGGTGTGGATATGTTTTTACCATGGGGTGTGGAAGGTTGTGGGCAAAGAATGTTTTGGTAGAAAAAGTGTTCAAGGGTCGGGCGCAGTGGCTCATGCCTGTAATCCCAGTACTTTGGGAGGCTGAGATAGGTGAACTACTTGAGACCAGGAGTTCGAGACCAGCCTGGCCAACATGGTGAAACTCCGTCTCTGCTAAAAATACAAAAATTAGTAGGGTGTGGCGGTGGCGCCTGTAATCCTAGCTACTTGGGAGGCTGAGACACAAGAATTGCTTGAACTTGGGAGACGAAGGTTGCAGTGAGCTGAGATCATGCCACTGTACTACAGCCTGGGTGACAGAGGAGACTCTGTCTCAAAAAAAAAAAAAAAGAAAAGAAAGAAAAAGTGTTGAAGGGATTTTAGGGTCAGCTCAGGGGCAAGGAGAGCAGCAGTCTAGGTGACTGCAGGAGTACCACATCTCTCTCTCTCTCTGCAGGAACGGAGCTTTGACTGTAAGATCTGTGGCAAAAGCTTCAAGAGGTCATCCACACTGTCCACACACCTGCTCATTCACTCAGACACCCGGCCCTACCCCTGTCAGTACTGTGGCAAGAGGTTCCACCAGAAGTCAGACATGAAGAAACACACCTTCATCCACACTGGTGAGCTGAAGGCCCTTGGCTTGTAGGAAACACACTGAGGCCAACATAACTCACCTTCTCTGATTTCTGGCCCCAGTGAGTGGTGGATGGGACCTTTCTGATGGAATTAATCACCGCTCTGTGTTAAAGAAAACAAAGGGGTGGGCTCTTAGGTTCATTTATAGACATAAATCTCCCCAGAGCCACCTTGATTTGGGGTTGTGTCTGAAAGACTACTCAGCAGATCAGCTCAGTTTCTCTCTTCTTGGAAAGAACATTTTCCTCTAGGTTGGCAGCTGCTTCCACTGCTGCCTGCTCTGGGTGAAATATGAAGCTCCAGGGTCCTCTTAGAGAGTTGCTCTAAAGAGCAAAGAGAGCTGCTCTAAAGCTTACCTAGAGATTGAGGACTTTCTTTAACCACCTGGCCTTTTGTGGGAGGGATTCATGTGGCCTCTTTGGCTGCATTTTTAGGAGTCTGAGAGCTTATTCTGATTGAGGAGGAACAAATAATGGCAAATGTGATTAAATTCTCTGCTAAGCATTTCTAAAATGCATTATTTCATTTTATGATCACAACAACTCTTGGAGGTAGAGACTACTCCTTCTCCCCATTTTAGAGATGAAAAAAACGAGGACAGATAATCTACCCAGGGTCACACTGCTAGCAAATGACAGGGTCAGAGCTCAAATTCAGGTCTGACCTCTCAAATGTCCACTCTTGACTACTGTTTATTGTATTCTATGTTTAGAGTCATGAGGGTTGGTAGACACAGAAGCTTCTGTTCACTTATTGCTCTTTTCAAAATATCTGCAAGTTCATGCCATAATAATAATTCTTTACCTATTATAATGCTTTATAATTTACAAAGTACTCTCAAATCTATCATTTCATTTGATTCTTGTTGCTACTCAATAAAGTAGAATGAGCTGCTCTTACCATCCTGAAACTCGAAGAGTGAATGATTTATCAAAAGTCAGACTGAGTGAATAATGGAGCCATGTAATGCTCTGGCTTCTAATTCTGGACTCTTTGCCAAACACTTTATGTGTGGGTGGGAGCTTCAATGCCAAGAACACTCTAATAGTCAAAAGACATTTACATGAGACCCAGAATTTCTGAAAATTGTATTGCAGAATATGAATCTGATTTAGAACAAATCACAGTGTATTCTAAACACCCACCCTTGATGTTTATAAATATGCTTGGGTAATGTATATATTTCCATTGAAAACCCAGAAAAGTAGTCTACTTTAATCATTCCTTCTTACCTGAAATTTCCATGTAATTCACTCCTTATAAGTAAGGTATTCAGGACACTTATCAAAATGCAACTAGGATCTTGACTGAATAAAACATTAAGCCCTTATCAAACATTTACATTATACCTGGAATTTGTTTCTCAGATTTGTTTGACCCTAAAGGGATAGAATACGTTTTAATGGGTTGTTTCTTATCGAGGAAACCCAAAGCATGAAAACAGAAAATAGTGTATCAAGGGGTACAGAGGGTTACTCAAAAACAAACTTCATCTATTTTATACTTTTTCCAAGGCTGAGCCCTGACTAAAATGCCATGCTGGGGCTATTTGGAAATTCATGCCATTTAACCAACAACACATGAGATGGGGAAAAAAACAAAACCTTTCTGTGTTCTCTGATTTATTAATTTGTGGTGAAGAATTGCTGGTATATAAAGAATCATGTGACTAACCTCATAAAATGAAAGAAAAATCAAAACAGAAAAATATCAGCTACCTTAAGAAATACTTTGTTGCCCAAATGTGGATTTTTAAAATAAGATATTGAAAAACATATCCTGCACATGTACCCTGGAACTTAAAGAAAAATGTCCATGTTAAGATGTTTTTCAGATATACTCTGCTGTCCTTCAAGAACAAGAAAGAAGACAGCCTCACTGGTCCATACAAACTAACACCCACTTGGAAATTCAGATTTGAAAACTTCCTCTGAATTAGAACGTAGTCACACGGTTTTAGGACAGCTTCCCCCTCCCCTTCCTGTTGAACATCTGCTCTGGGTGTTCACAGCTTATAAAGTCAGGGGAGTCCTCCCTGGGGTAGATTCAGCTGGGGAGGGCACGTGGCCTTTGCTCTGTTTCCGTTTAGCAGGAAACGGTTTGAGGCCTTTGGCTGGGAACCCCCACTCAGAAAGTCTCCCTTTCACCTGGTGCACCCATGGTGCTTCCAGGGACTCGCATTGCAGGCTGGGCGTCAGTTCATGTTGCAACACGTCACCCTCCAAGTTGCTTGAAGGCCTTAGACTGTGGTGCAGCCAGCTGCTGCTAAGAGCATGTGGGTCACAGTGGGTCCCCTCTAGCTTTATCATAGGCTCATACTTTCTCCCCTCCCCTTCCCATCCCCACAGGTGAGAAGCCCCACAAGTGCCAGGTGTGCGGCAAGGCATTCAGCCAGAGCTCCAACCTCATCACCCACAGCCGCAAACACACGGGCTTCAAGCCCTTTGGCTGCGACCTTTGTGGGAAGGGTTTCCAGAGGAAGGTGGACCTCCGGAGGCACCGGGAGACGCAGCACGGGCTCAAATGAGCACACTGGCTGGCTGCAAGCAGCAGCTACACAACACTACAGAGGGCAGCCTCCCTGCTTGCCATCACTCCCTTTTGACTTTGCAGGCCCCAGGTCCAGTCTGCAGATCCCACCAGGTGTTCCTCCTTTGCCTTACCTCCTGGAGCTGCCAGAGGTGATGAGGTACCTTTTCATGTGCAGCCCAGAGTAAGAATCAAGTGACTGTCTAGGCTTTGGACACAAATAGGCTCCTCTACACCTGAAGACAAAGGCATAGTCAAATGGGGACCAGAAGAAATCTTAGACCTCACAGTCCTTCCCATTTCCAGCCCTAATCTACAGACAGGAATGTCCTTTAGGTTTCTTCCCTTGCCTTCTTGACCTACTCCAGTTATTTGTGTGGAAGAGGAGGACTCATCATTTACAAGGTGGACACATGCTAATATTTTTATCTAGAAAGAAGAATGAGTGTTAAATTTTATTTTTTTTTCTTCTGGGGAGTCTGTTGACCCCCTTCTTTTGGGTGCTGCCTATAAATCTTGGAGGAATCATTTCTCTTCCTCAAAGACTGATTCAGAAACTGATTTTGGGAAGTTTAATACTTTTGAAGTCATGAGATGCACCATCAAGGCTACCCCAAGAAGGAGCAGAAGATAAGTTGGTGATGAGAGGGGATTAGAGGTCCTCCTTTCAGGAGGCCTGTGAAGGCTTCATCAGTCAAGGTAAAAGCACAAGCAATGTCTGTGGCCAAGATGTCGTTCATTGGCTCAGCACATGTTCATGGATCACCAGCTATCAAGGTACCAGGCACCATGCTAGGTACTGGGGAAGAGAGACTGAAGTCACAACTCCTGACTCTGCTCCTCAAAAGCTAACAGTTGCACCTCCAAGTGGCTTGGCCTGTTCTTATCCTTGGAGAGAATTCTGAGAATACAACACAGAATTGTAAATCTTCCCTTTTGACCCTTTTGGATTTTATCAGGTGTAAACAAAAAGCAGCTGAACAGTTACTTCAAAGATATGTGTGTATATTCAGTTTTTTATTGTTAAGCTGATATTTTAAAGATGTCTGAGCTAGCAGGCATGTGGAAGTGAAGGCTCTGTCTTCAACTCTGACCCTCCATGTGTATCATAGAGAGGGTAAAAAGTGGTATTTTCAGTTTGATGAGGTTGGTAAATGTTTTTAGATCTTCTGGTATGCATTATGTTTGTGAATACATATTTATTAGAGTGATGTTTTAAGTTAATAAACTATTAAGACTATTACAGATTGCCTTTCCTTTAGGAAAGGAATTTGGGGAAGACCTTTGTTTTAGTCTGGGGTGGAGGGAAGCTGGCACTGAAGGAAGCTGCAATAGACTGTAAAAGAGAAGCAGATGAGCTAACATCCACAAGCGAGTAAAATCCAATTGCTTTGGTTTTCATATACTTTCTCCTTTGCTTCTACACCTCAGAGATACTTCTTTAATAAGACAAAAACTAGGAGGTGTACAAAACTAAGCTCCTACCTTGTAGAGCCCCTGATGGTTCCACAGGCACATAAGCAAGCTCTTTCCTCTAAAAATGTCAACATAATTTTTTATGGGCCTGAAGACTCCCAGATGAATATAGAAATCACAAGTCTTAGGTCTAGAGGTTTTAGTTTTAGTCACAGCTCTGTCACCAGCACATCATGTGACTTGGGTAAATCTTTTGACTTCCCTGATACTGGTTTCTTTGACCAAGTAATGTGGAGACAGCTCTGTCATTCCAGTCCAACCCTGACTGCTTTGATTCTGTGAAAACTGGAAAGGAGAAAAAGTATGAGATTGGTTAGCTGCCTCCCCTAATGCAAGTAACAAATCTAAAGGTACATGAGCATCTGGGTTATTTCTGGTCTGTCCCACCTGTGGGAGCTTTTTATATCAGTCAGTCCTTTAACAGAATGAAACCAGAATAAGGTCCTGCCCTAAATCCCTATTACTAGTGCGTTAACACCCAGCCAGATACTCAGGGTATGCATGGCTCATACTGAGTACCAAAAGATTGCCCATTTCCAACTCAAATTGATTTCACCTATATGATTGAGCACCAAATATGTGCTGGGCACTCTTCTAGGGGGTGGAGATACAGCAGTGAAGACAATGTCATATGAAGATTTATTTACTCATTGTTGAATCTTCAGTTCCCAGAATAGTGCCTGGCACACAGTAGGAGATCAATAAATATTTACAGAGATGGTAAGTGAATAAACAGAATATAAACTCCTGCTTCATCCTGTGGGCTGGCTCTGCCCTCTAAAGCACAAAGGGAAGTGAGATTGCTTGAAAGCCTGGGAAACAAATAGAATCCACAGGACTTTCTCTCTGGGTTGGTGGGAAAGCGGGGCTTGAATGTTACTTTTCTCTGGTGTCTCCAAATCACAGTTCTTGGCTGTCCTCACCTGATTTCCAGCACCATGTCTCTCCATGTCAGTTTACTCTCATTCAGAATTTAAATTTGTTTACTCTGTAATGGAGTTTAAGATAGTTTTTCAGAACTGATGGATGATGAACAGTTGCAGCATCCAGGAACCACTTCCTAGTGTCCCGGAAGACAAACCTCCCAGTGAGTAAAGATGACAAAAACATCCTTCCCACAGAAGTCACCCTGCATACTGGTTGGTTATTTTCAATCTGGTTTGAAAAGTAAAGAAGTTGCAATGAGGGGTAAGTGAAACTGATTGAAATCTAGGTGTCTGTACTGCCCTGCTCTTCCCTTATAACAGAACATTTGGTCCATTTGCATTATCCCTGTTTATGCTATAAGTGAGGAATTGTAATTTTGATGTTAACTGTATGCCTTTTTTTTTTTTTTTGGTAAAAAATGTATCTTAATATCCCCAGTTCAGAATCAAAACAAATTACTGTGCCTGTTACCGTGTGAAATTTGAAGATTGCAAATATCTCTCTTAATGTTATTACTTGACTCCATTAAAAATAGATTGTGAATATTCCATGTCACATTATTCATGAGGCAGGCTCTATGCCTTTTGTCTGCTGGAGTAACAGTAGAAAGGGTAACAAGAGACACCAGAGCACACCTTTGTTTCTTTCACTAAATTTTTAATAACACCTCCAGCTAGCCAGTTGGTGAAGCTCAGCTCTTGCATAAAAGTGGAAAAGCACAGCTATCTCTGAGAAGACCAACTCTTTCAGCAGCTAATTTGAGTTTGTGTTCATCTACACCAGACATGATTAAATTACCTATCAAGTGTGCTGAGCTATCAGGATTCAGGCCACATAAAAGGTGAATTTCATCTGATTGATTTGAGACACGAACGGAACAACTGAGTTTTAAAAGCCCCGCCTTAATTAAAGGGATAGCAGAGTTTCAGGCCCCGGTGACTTCTTAACTGCAGTTGTGCTTGAAAACTGGGTGGTGATAGTGATTTGACCCCAGTCATTTTATTGTGTGCCTGTTTGTTCAACCTGATCATTTAACAGAAAGAGATGAACTCAGAGGAAGACCTGAATGTATTTCACTAATTTTTACTGTGCATTTCTAGAGCACTGTTTGTTTAAATCCGTGCTGCCATATTATTTCTACAGTAAAAACTTTTTAGGAAGTATATATTTATTTTAACGCCCTTTTTCCATTCATTAAGTCAGATTTTAAAAATTAAAAAGTTTGGGCTGGGCGTGGTGGCTCATGCCTGTAATCCAATCACTTTGGAGGCCAAGGTGGGCAGATCACCTGAGGTTGGGAGTTCAAGACCAGCCTGACCAAAATGGTGAAACCCCGTCTTTAAAAAAAATAAATAAATAAAAATAAAAGAGTTTAAGGAAATTGCACTCTAAATCCTTCCATCTTAAAAATTTATGTCATTTTTGTATGCGTTCCTTTCTAGTCTTTAGGCACATGCGTGTATATTTATATTTTATAATTTTTGTCTAGATAACTCTCTTATTATATAGACATACTTAAAACAGATATTTCACAATGAGAATTTGGACAATTTTGTGACCAAATTTTATTGAAATATTAGTGTTTTTTTGGGAATCTTGTCAATCATTGAGAAAAAGTCTTTTCTGAAGTTTAATGTTTTTTTACTTTTTAAATAAGACATTTTAGGTATACTGGAAATTGCAGAGAATAATAAATGTTAGTGTACCCACCATTCTGACATATTTACTTTAGATTTTATTTTTGAAATAACATGTTACAGATATAGTTGAATTTCTTATTGCAATATGTTCCTGCCTAGCCCCATTTCCTTTCTTTTCTCCTCAGAGGCATCCATTATTCCAAAATCAGTATATATAATTTCCATGAATGTTTGTATGCCTTTAATTTATACACAATCCCATAAACAATATATAATTTAGCGTATATTAACTTTATGTAAATGGAGGGTAGTTTATGTATCCTTCTGCACCTTTCTGGTTTTTTTGCTTAACATGTTGTTTTTGAGATGTATTCATGTTGATACGTGCAGTTTAGTTCCTTTATTTTAAATACTGCATATAGAATTCCACTGGGTGAATGCTTGGTAATTTTTCTCTTCTGTTGGGAGAGTTTTGGTCATTTCCAGGTTTTTCTATTACAAATGATTCTGAAGCAAACAACCTTTTACGTATCTCTTGTGAGAGATTCTTTAGGATGTATTCTTAGGAATGAAAATACTGGATATTATCAAACTGCTCTTCAAAATGGTTTCTCCAATTTACAGGTTCCCTAACAATGTAGGAGAATTCCTGTTACTCCAAATCTTATCAACACCTGGTATTGTCAAACTTCAAACATGTCTGCCAATCAGATGGATGTGAAATGTCATTGTAATTTGCATTTCCTGATTCCTAGTGAGGTTGAGTATCTTTTCATAAGTTGATGGGCCTGACAGGTTTCCTTTCCTATGAAATGCCTCTTCAAGTACTTTGTCAATTTTTCTGTTGGTTGCTTGCTTTTTATCAATTTGTATTTAAATGTATTCTCAACACTCACTGTTTTGTGTTACATACTTATCTCAGCCTATGATTTGCCTTTTCACTGTGAAGAGAGGTTTTATTTGCTTGTTTTGTTTTTGTGTGTAATCAAATGTATTAGTCTTTTTCTCAATGGTTTATGCTTCTTACGTCTCAGTTAAGAACTCTTTCCCTAACTGGTGGTCATAAGATTCCCTATATTTTCTTCTAAAAGTGTTTGAATTTCTGCTTGTGACATTAGGGTTTTTTGTTTGTTTGTTTGTTTGAGATGGAGTCTCCCTCTGTCACCCAGGTTGGAGTGCAGTGGCGCCATCTCAGCTCACTGCAACCTTTGCCTCTCGGTTCAAGCAATGCTCCTGCCTCAGCCTTCCAAGTAGCTAGGATTACAGGTGGGCACCACCACACCTGGCTTTGTATTTTTATTAGAGACGGGGTTTCACCATGTGGGCCAGGCTGGCCTCAAACTCCTGAGCTCAGGCAATCCGCCCCCCTCAGCCTCACAAATTGCTAGGATTACAGGCATGAGCCACCATGCCCAGCCAACAGTAGCTTTTTAATCCACTTGTATGTGTATAGTATACAATAAGAACCTCTAATTTAAAAATTTTTCTTCACCGTTAGTAATGGATAACCAATTATCCAAACATTATGTATTGCTATTTTCATCCTTTTCCGTCTGATTGTAATGCCACCTGTCATATGTCAAGTTTCTATTTCTGTATGGTTCTATTTCCAGGCTTGCTGATCGGTTCCACTGGTCATTTTGTCTATCTCTATGCCAAAGCCATAGTGTCTTAAATAATTTAAGTTATAATAAACTCTTAATAGCTAGTAGGGAAGGCTGCCTTGTGATCTGTTTCATCCTCTTCAGGAATATCCTGGCTACTTTTGGCCCATATGATAAACTGTTGGAATTTTGGTTTGTATTACATTTATTATTTAATTTAGGGAGAAGTGAAATTATTTTGATATTGATTCTTGCCATCCATATATTGATTACTTATTTAGTCTTCTTTTATGTCTTTCAATAATACTTTGTTATTGTCTGCATAATTTAATTACTTTTTAAACTTTTTCTTTTTGTTGTTTTTCTTTTTTTTTTTTGTAAAGACGGGGTTTCACCATGTTGGTCAGGCTGGTCTCGAACTCCTGACCACAGGTGATCCGCCCGCCTTGGCCTCCAAAGTGCTTGGATTAGAGGCATGAGCCACCACACCCGGCCTAAACTTTCTTAGTTCTTATTTTGAAAATTGAATTTTGTAATTACTCTTGTATGGGAACAAAATTAATTTTTCTATATGTTGATCTTGTATCCTATAACTT